CCTAAGCCCCAAACCCTGAACTCTTCAAAGCCTTCAAGCGAAAGGCATCTCCGAGTTCCCACAGCGAGGGGGAGCCAACGGGGCCATCCGATTCGATCCGGAGATGACGATGGGAGCGAACGCAGGCCTAGAGTTTGGGGTTTAGGGTTTGGGGTTTAAGGCTTAGGGTTTAAGGCTCAGGGTTTAGGGGTAAGGGTTTCGCTTTGGCTTGCTGGTGCTTAAGGACGAGGTTGTGGAGTGGATCAGTTTTAGTAATCCTCACAAAGTGTCCTGCCATAATCCGCATCTTCATTCCCCATACCCTTTGCGCACCAGGTGTTTGTTGGAGGAAAAGGGGCTGGAGTTGAATCAGGTCACAGGGTGGTTGTTCCAGTTCACCGAGCTACATGAAGGATGCTGTAGTTTGCTTTTGTTGACCGCGTGTAGTTACTTTGATCCCTGAACCCCTACATGTACTGCGAAGCAGAAAGATCATCATGACAGTCAAAATTGACAGGAGAGCTCTAATAATGAAAGCTGCAACCCCCCGAACTAACATGAACCCCGCCCACATGCACAGTACTGTCCTTGCTTATTGGACTATATGGGGTCCCGGCTTAGTTTAGCAGCGGGCATCAAACTTTGGCTCCCTCATCCAGGCTTAGACAAGGCAAAGCGATACCTGGAGACTTATGCGAAGAAGTACCCACTCATCTCGTGGGCAGACCTCATTCAGCTACTGGGTCTTCGTATTTGATTGAGTGATCTTCATCCTTATGCGATGTAAAAAATACATGGGATCTCCAAAAATCAGGGGCCCTTTTTTTGAGGGAACCTATAACCAGGATGATAGGGGGTTAGGGTATATAGTGGGTCCCTCGTTTACAGACCCTCCATGTTCACATATATATATATATTCTATATATATATATACACACATATGGCCCTAGCATTCTCAGAAAGATAACCTAGGTTTGAGTCAGGGAACTAGGCAGCCCTGAGGAGATGCTGATTAGGGTTTAGGGTTTAGGGTTTGATGCCAAAATTTTCTTCATGACCTTATGTACCTCGTACTCTGCCTTCGTGGTTTAGGGTTTAGGATTCGGGGTTTAGTGGTTTAGGGGGGGTTTAGGGGATTTAGGGGGGGAATTGTGGTCTTCCACTATAGGTAAGTCACGCCCTGATTCTTGCATTAAAAGGGGTACCTTCCAAAGCATGTTCATTGCTTAAGGGTTTAGCATTCAGAGTCTGGCATGGAACACCCCTGTTTTAAGATGCGTTGTCGAAGCCGTCTCCCAGACATATCGCTTTCTGTTGTGGAGCCCATGTGAGAGTTTCCGAAAATTAGGAGTCCATTTTTTGGTGAGTACCCCATAGTAAGGATCACGATGCTTTGGGGTCTCTTTGGGGGTTTCAGTGTTTATGGAAACACAAAGCCCGAAACCCTAAGCCCCAAGTATTGGGAAGGTTGCTTCCGGTGGCCAGTTTCAGTTTGCCGCCCATTTCGTGTGGAGTTCATAGCGATAGCGATATGCTCTGCAGACATCGGGCCCTAAACCCTGAACCCTACACCCTCAACCCCAAAGCCCTTTAACACCACAAAACAACGGCGGTCCATGCCCTAGGCCCTAGCCTAGACCCGTCACCTCGAGCCGTACATGTTCATTCATTACACCTTAGGAGGATCCCCCACCCTGTAATAGTGGAATTATATAAACATAAGAGGATCCCAATACAATCACCATTATGCCTTATAGTCACTATTACTGGGTGGGGGGTCCACCTAAATTACACCCTACCTGCAGAGAACCTCGGTTTAGGGCTCAGGGCATCGAAGCCAAGCAAGAACAGCCCCTTTCAGCGATGCAAGATGATGGCAAACCTTTGCGGGTTCTTCAATGGGGGTCATTTGGCGAGTCTATCGCGGAGAAGGGATCATCGAGAATCATTTCCTTTTAAGGGTATCCAAACCAAACAGGGAACCATCTTGGGGACAGGTATTTTGAGCAACTATCGAATGCCAAGTCGCCTCAATGTCCCTCACTTGAAACCTGAGGCTGGCCAGCGCCACTGCTGTCGAGGTGGCTTGCTTGGAAAGTCTTGAGGATTCAGGCTCTTAGTCCGGGACTTGTTTTCGAGTCTAGGTTCGAGAGGCTTAGGGTTAAAGGTAGTCTTGCTTTTGGATCTCAGCTACCGTAACTTTGAGGCCTGAGACAAGAGAATTTCAAAACAGGACCTAGAGAGTAGGTGATCTTCTACTCAGAGCCCTAAACTCTTAACCCTCAGCCTTGTGAGGGATGAGGTTATGGATTGAGACATGGGGCTTTTAGGGCTTAGAGCCGCCAAACCCCTAAACTCCGAAGTTCCCAAAGCCCTAAACCGCTAAACCCCCTCAAGCCCCCCAAAACTCCCCACACTCCGCAACTTGCAGACCTCTATCCCCTAACCATCTGCTTCTGCGAAACCCCATTTCTGGGCACTGTCAAGGGCCCAGCACTTCCCTTCCCCTTGTCAAAGTCCCAGCTTCCTTGAACGGATTGTACGTGATACCCTAGACGCAAAACCCGAGATTCAACAAACCCAGATTAAATCCAATCCTAACACACAGCCCAGTGCCTTTAACACTAGTAACAGTAGTAATAATAGTAAAAATGGAAAATATCAGTAATATTACTATTATTACTACTACTGTAGGAATGATCGTAACATTCCTTTCCTTGTCCCGAAGTCCCTGCCCCGAACCTCATACCCTAAACTGATCAGGTCGCAGGAGGACCAGTGATCGCGTCTCGGATCCACTTTGCTTGAGCTTTTGAGTTTTCAGGGTCTCAATACCATGCAAGATGATGGGCTTACGGTAGAGGGTTAATGCGTACCCTCATTTTTAAACCCTGGAGGGTTAATGGGTCTTGGGCGGGATGCTGTCGAGTCAATTGTGGGTCATCACGTCATTACATGTAATCGGATCCCAGTTGGGTACCAAAAGCCTCTTCTTAAGGAAGCCTACATATGAACCCCTCAATCCCGTGCCGCCCGGGCTCTGAAGTCTAACCTGCGAGTTCCAGGTGCCGGAAAGTACATTGTCTCTGCTCCCCCAACCAGACCCATCCTAAGCCCCAAATCCTAAGCCCTGGCAGGAGGGGGCATACAAACAAGGTTTACCTGAACCCCAAGAGTAGGTAGAATAATGCTCCTAACACCGGCCGGTATTCTATATACTTCGGGGGTCTAGGTAATCCTTATAACCCTACAACCCTAAACCCTAAGCCCTGTACAAGGACATGGTCTACGGCCGCGTGGCCGTGAATAGCCCTGCCGACTGCGTTGGCGCGACCTCCCGCGAGGGCTTTGCGGGCAACGCAGGGCTTCCAGATGCCATGCCACCCTTCGGGCGCTGCGGGGAGGGGGGCGTACTGTGATATTGTCAGTGAACTCAGGCTACCTTATCATCATGTGGGTATGCCCCTATATACATATACATATATATATATACATATCTATGTTTCAGAAACATGGTTTCATGGTAAACTAGTTCAAATTCCGCCTAGGGCTCAGGATTACATAAGTCGTTAGGGTTTAGGGTTCGCATTGGAATGTTGTCAGCTTTGAAACATGGACTATTTGAAGATGTTTCCAGGACTCTCTAGAGTCTCACTTGGGGAAGGGTCTGCGTAGGCTTTGAGAGATCTACATCTCCAAGGCCTTTTGTTGTAAGTGTACAATGAAATAGCACTATTGGAGGCTGAAGTCAACAGGTACCGTGTCTTCCTTGTAAGCCTTAACCCCCCAGTGCCTGCTTATTTCAAGAGGCAGTGTTTGAAGCCAGTACAGTCCTCGAAGCACGCCCACACGATGCCAGTCCCCCTAGCATCCTGTTTGTCTGGGGGAGCCGGGGCCCTAATTAGTGCCGAAGCCCGAGTCCCTTGTAAACCCATTCGCCTGCTTGATGGTATCTTATGTAGTCCTACCTGAAAAGGGCGTTCTAAACCCTCAGCCTTGTCCTGGGCCTTACAACCCCCGAACCCTGAGCGCACATCTGCGAAAGGTGCGGCGCGACGTCGCCCGCAGAGCACCTCCGAAACGTCTTCACGAAGAAGATGGGCTTCAACGATCAGGAGATTGAGTTGTCTTCTATTTCAGGTTTGCCTTTGGGACCTTCATTTTGGAAGTACCATACTGGCAATCGCCCAGTAATCTCATAAAAGCTCTGCCGGCATCATCTAGTTTTTCGTGTCGGGTTCTTACAGAGTTATAGCGTCCCTCACAGGGTTTGCCTAAACCCTAAACCATGGCTGAAAGAAGTATATGCCAAGCCTGGAAGGTTCAAGAGTCAGATGAGGTAGACTCTAGATTTTGGGTTCTTGGTGAGTGTTCATAGGATTATATACTGAAGAATGTGGCTTAGGGGAAATCAAGGGGTTGGACTCAAAGAGCCCTAAACCCCAAAGCCTCAAAACCTAAACCCCAAACCCTAAAGCCCTACGCAGCTACGGCCAGGAGATTGTTGCCTTATCTGGTGCTCACACAGTTGGCCGCGCGTTCAAGGCTGGACTGCGACTGTAGAAGCCCAGGGCTTAGGTTTTTAAGTCTGCAGTTTAGGGTTTTCGGTCTAGAGTTTAAGGTCTTGGGTTTAGGGTTCAGAGTTTAGATAGTGCTAAAGATGAATAAGGTTGTTCGTAGGGTTCAGGGTTCAGGGGGCATGATGAGTTGACAGTGTAGGGTTCTGGTGTTGGGGATCATGAGTTCCCTCGAAAATGTATCGTGCTGGATGCTGGCTGCGGTTTCCATGGTCAAGGGTTGGGTGGTCACATCTTGCCATAGTTTGACACTAAGCCGGAGGGACCCGGTGGTGCCAGCTGTAGCAACGCACATGCGCGGTGTAGGGTTTAGGGCTTAGGAATGATAAGGACTTGCGTAGGGACGATCAATCCCCAGGCCCGAATTCCTAAGCCCTTGCAGGAGCGAAGTGGTACCTGCCCCTTCGGCTATGGTGACGCCAGCGCCTCCAAACACACCAAGTCCACGTGCAAGGTCCGAAAGGACCGGATCTCGATTTCAGACAGAACGGATCTGGCTTAGGCAAGTCTGTGGGGTAAGACCTGTATGTAGAGGCCCGGATAGTTCTCAACGCTATTCCTTTACTGTTTGCCTATGACACAATGTATCCCGAATCCCCTTTCGAATTATCTAGGCCGCCGTATGCAGGGGGTTCAGAAACTGAGTGCATAGTACTGGTACGGTTGCAGGGGCTCTAGAAGCATCTCTGTAAGCTATAGCTTTCTTGGCGTCCTCGCCCTTGGTATCTGAGTTTGGGTATCCGCAAAAGGTATGGTGCCAATAGCTACCAAGAACAGTAGGGTACTTGATACGCGAGCCCATGAAAACCAGGACCATTTGGCTTCCAAGGTTCTGGGGTTGTGACAGGGCTGCTAGGTAAACCCTGATTGTGGGCAGATTTAACAAAGGTGGCCACCAGTTTTGCCTAAGGGCTTCGACTGCAGGTTGTGGGGGTGTGTCCTGAATTCTGAGCTGTAGGCCTGAGGACTGAAGTTCACATGAGCTATAGTCTAAACTCCTTAAAGGGGCTTGTATAGGGGAGCTGTATAAGGGTTGTTAGGGGGGATACTAGGAGTCTAGACTATAGTTCACATTTAAGACGTGATGCGTATGGCAAGAGTCTCTCCCCAACGTTGGTTGCAGTTCTGATGCCTTCGGTTGACTTGATCTCTTTACTTCTCAGCCTGGCATCTGTCCCCATTAGGCCGATTAGGCCGCAGCATTCACACACATAAAAAAAGGGTAGATTGTTCCCAAGAAATCCATTGAGCAGTGAATCCGAACTTCGAACCCTGAGCTTCCTGCCAACACCCCGTCCCAAATCCTAAGCATGTTAAGCATATAGAAGTTGGCAGAGGGCCTCTTAAACCCCATCAGGAAGCAGGAAGAGAAGTTTTTGAAACGGAGCCCATGATTGTGAGAACCCTTTAACGCGGTGAAAGAGGGAGGGTTTCGGGGTTTTATGTTGTAGGGTTTGGCCACCACATGCTCATGTGTAAGAGGACAGTGCTGCTGGCGTTGGCATGTCGGGAGGCTGCGCGTGGACCAAGAAGCTTAGACTTTCAAGGATTGGCTTTGTTCAGGGTTGCAATGGGGAATTCAAAGAGTTTAGGACTTCTAGGCGTTGGGATTGGGATCTTTCAAGAAAGTTCAGGATTTAGAGTATGTGGGGGTGCAGCGTTCCCATGTTGAGTGAGGGTTCATGGATTTTGCCCTAAGCCCTAAACCCTAAACCGCGTGGCCTTGGAGTCGGGAGTCTTGATTTGGGGCTTCGGTGTTGTGGTGGTTTAGGGTTCAGAGTTCAGAGCTAGGGCTTTGGGTTTGTAGTTTGGGATTCAGGGTTTAGGGTTTAGGCTGTAGGGTTTAATGTTTAGAATAGGGTTTAGGGCTTCGGACCCGCGCGCCCTGCAATGGACAGCTATGTTTTGGATGCTCTCAACTGGTTTGCTGTTAGGGGACTTAGATCACGTGATCGTATTATTATTGAGTATATAGCAACTAGCAGGGTTATCTTGTCATAGTATCCTAATTCAAGTTCCATAGCAGCAACCCAGTCAAAGGTCCCTTGCCTGTTGTTGGGTGCCTTGCACAAGGAGAGCCCGAAAGGTTCGTCTGTAGGCAGCGCCCAGTCGTGCAAACCAAGAACCTCGACTTCTACACCCTAAAAACCTAATGGCCTAAACACTTTTCAATCCCACACCCTGAACCCTTAGAAACCTTATACCATCCACCCTAAACCCTACACCCTAAACCCCGAAATCCTAAGCCCGTAAACCCTGAACCCTAAGCCCTAGAGCTTAAACGCATAACAGTAACCCCCGTAAACTCTAAACCCTAAACCCTAACGCAAACCCGGATGATCCCAGGAACTGGCTAACCTTTGACAACTCGTACTTCAGCCGCTACAAGGATCCTGAAGATGATTTTGGTGTAGGGTTCAGGGTTTAGGATTTAGGGTTTGGGGCCTAGGGTGTAGGAGTTGGGATTTAGGGTTTAGGGTTTAAGGTTCAGAGTCTAGGGCTTAGGGTTCAGGGTCTAGAGTTTAGGGTTTAGATTTTAAGGGTTCAGGGTTTTACGTATTTTGTTGTGGGGATGATTGTCTGGGACATTCATGGGAAATGATTTTCACTAATGATGGACTATAATCCTTACATGTTTCGTATACAGCCAAAACAGAAACTTGTATAGGACCCCTACATCTACCCTAAACTCTAAACCCTTAATCCTAAACCCCTAAATCATTAGCAGCAAGAGTCTCAATTTTTGCTTGGAATCTAAAGGCTTAGCCCTAGATCCTAAACCCTAAACCCTAAAGGCTTAAACCCTAAACCCACACCCTTCCATGCCTTGGCTTAAACCAAAATCCCAGCAATTCACCCCCAGGTTTAGGGTTTTAGGGTCTTAGGGGCTTAGGGTTCTGGGGCGGGTTTTATTGTTTTTTTAGGGTTTAGCTTTAGGGTCTCAGGATTTGGGGGTTTCACGATTTTAGTTTTCAGGGTTTAGGTTCTTAGCGTTTTGGGGTTCTAGGGTTTATCCTGGAGTTGCCAAGCAGGATGCCATGGCGGATGACAACCTGCTGTGGTTCCCCACGGACGAGGCGCCAGCCAAATTTGAATCTTAAAGCCCTCAACCCTTAACTGTAGGATGCCGGATTCAAGCTTTTGGGCTTAGGACTTTGGGTTTGGGACTCGGGGTCGGGCGTTTACGACTTAAAGTGAATTTAAATGTTTCAGGCTTTAGTGCTTGAGGCTGCCTTTTGAGGCCTAGGTTGAGGCTGGATATTGTGCCCCATCCCAGAACAGCCATATCTACGAGGATCCTTACTAAGGGTTGAAGTTGGCGACAGGTGCCATGTTGGAAGCGGTTTCAGCATTGGGGCAGTATCCGAGCTATAGGAGTCGCAACCCCAAACCCTAAACCCCAAACCTCTTGTCCACCTAAAGCCCTCAGACCCTCGAATGGAGGGTTGCCAAAAATACGGTCCCTTTTTTCTGGTACCTTAAACAGTCAGAACCATATTGTCATAGGGAGCCAAAGAGGCACCATCATCTTGAGATTCCTAAACCCAAAGCCCAAAGCCTAAACCCTAGAGAACCTACAAAATGGGGTTGGCATCCTACACGTGCTCCACACCGATCTAAACCGTAAACCCTAAACCGCAAACCTTAAATCCTAAACCCTAAATCCTACAGGTGCTCCACACCGATCCAGGGTTTAAGCCGCATTTCGAGAAGTACGCAGCTAACCAGACCCTCGGCGGCCTTTTGTCTGGGTAGGGGGACACCCAGGTATGGATAACACTAACACCTTAGGGTTTGGGGTTTAGGGTTCAAAGTTTTGGCTTTGGGGTTTAATGTAGTGTTTCGCAATGCACCTACACATTTTTTGGAACCTGAGGGTTTAAACCTTAGGTCTTGGGGTCTAGAAGCGACCAGTTGTGGGTTTCGTCTTAGCACGCTGGGTGTAATATGTAGAGCTGCTGGTTTATGATAATGGGGTATGGTCTACTTGAATCCAATGATGCCTGTAATTACCACCCAGTTCTGAGCCTCCTCAGTCCCCTGATACCGCTGCAGTTGCGCTAGAAGTACAAGTCATAAATAGCTACATTTCTGCTGAACCTCCAAGTGGACATTATATAGGGAGATATGGGGATAATGGAAAGTGGAAACTATTACTTTCTAATCGTGTATATGTTGGGGTTATAGTAGGGAAGCTACTTCGTATCCCTGTTGCTTTTAAACCCCAAAACCCAAATCCACAAAACCCCCAAACCCCTAAACCCCTAAACAATAAACCCCAAAGGGAGAAGTTTGCAAGCCCATTCTGGCTTAGACAATTCAGGGGCCAAGCCTGTAAAGTGATGGTCTCGGAGGTCCACAGTTCCCAACTGCATATATGGGTGGTTGTCAAAATTATGATCCCTTTTTGGGTACCCTAAATATTAGGTGCCGTATTATAATAGGGATCCAATAAGGGACCATAATTTTGACAACCACCCTAATATATGACCCAGTTCCAGCCCAAATCCCAATCTCGGACCCCTTTCATTCCTGGCAATCATTAAGTGACGAAGCCTAGTTTTCCGCAGCTTTCGTATGTGAGGTCCAAGCCCCACAGCCGACCCCTAATGCCCTGGACCGCTGCAACCCTGGGAGTCGTCGACCCAAACGCTAAACATCCCATACCCTAAATCCTTAACCCCACAAATCCCCCTGAACCCAGAATCACGTGCCTTTCGCAAAGCCCCAACGCAAAAAAGCTAACCCCCAAACCATGAAGCCCTAAACCCCTCAACCGTAAAGCCCTAAACCCTAAAGCCCTAAACCCTAAAGCCACAAAACCTAAAAAACCTAAAGCTCTCCACCAACCTAGGAGCGCCTTTTTCGCGGATTACGCCCTTGCTCACAAGAAGCTTTCGGAACTGGGAGCTAAGTTTGAGCCCCAGGGCGGCGTTAGGATCTGAGAGGCGCAGTGGGAGCTTCCAAGCTGGCAAAAGAACCTAAGTCATAAGTGGGGGTTTCCCAAAATTAGGGGTACCATTGTGGGGGGTCCCCATAATAAGGATTATAGTATTTTGGGGTCTATAGTGGGGTTCCCCCTATTTAGCAAACTACCAAGTATCGAACTAATAACAAGCTACACGTCAGGGGTTAGGGCTCAAAGGGGGACGGGTTTTGGGTTTTGTCGTTTATGGGGTTGATACAGTTGAGGGTGTAGGGTTGCTGGGGTTCATGGATCCAGGGCGCAGGGCTTAGGAGTTTTTACGAGCAGCCCTTAAGCTTTGGGCTTTAAGGAATTCGTTGGTTCAGGCTTCAGGTTCAACTGTGTTGGGGCTAGGACAAGACTGACTTAAATTCAGACACAAACAAGCAAGGCTAAAGTCATCACATTAGGAGGAGACAGCGCTGGAACACTGCAACAGTAAGAGTGCTCAGGCTCTGTAATCCCGGGGTCTTTTCAAGACATGCTGTTGATGTCAAAAGTCCTGCATGAGCCTATAATCTGGGAAATAACGATATTCAAGAATACTACTACAGCCATTCAGAATTCTTAGTCTCAACAGTAGGAAGCAAGGTTGAGATGATGTAAGAGGCCTAGCTCAAAGTTGGCAACGGGATCGCAAGTATTGTGGGTGTAGGAGCCTTAAAAATTTGATGGGGGCTTGGTTATCTTTGTGTTAGGTGCCTAAGAGTTATAAGGGAAGACTATGACTAACCGTTCAGGCTTCTACTGTCAATTTGGCACTTATAAGATGCTTATGAAACAGCCATGCGTGTTTCTTGGAAACTCCAAGCAACTGTGCACGCTGGGTGTCGGCAATTTTGTCGGTCGTCCAGGCCTAGGGACCACCATATCCCGCAGCCACAGACACATCGCAGAAACACCGATGCGAAGAGGTTTAAAAAGAAGTTGGCCAGATCACCATAAGGCCTCAAGCATCGAAGTCCTCAACTTCATCCCTCGAGCCCAAAAAGCCTAAGCCCTGAACCCTCATCCCTAACCAAAAGCCCAAGACCCTAAACCCTCATCCCTAACCCCAAGCTCTCATCCCTCATCTCTAAGTGTGATACCTTGTCTACTGGATCCTAACACCTTGTGGATGGGGACCCCCTATAGTAGTCCCTGTAGGGCCAAATGTAGGGATAATGGCCAAGAAAAAGGAAACTACTATAGTATATTAGGGTTACATATAGGAATTGGGTTTAGGGACCATTCCGCTGAGCATCTGTGGGTTCAGGATTGGGTAGGCGAGGGTGTCAGAGATCTGACCCAGGTCCATTCCCGAGTAGCCCCTCTACAGCTGGATAGTTCCAAGCTGGGTAGTCTCCATTAAGCCTTCTAGACCCTAAGCCCCTAAAACCCT